ATAATTTTTGCCGTTTACTGTCACTTGTCTTTCTTTGCAGACCGAATGGACATGTACCCCTTGCATAAATAAGGCCGCAAATCCAATCGTCTGGGCAGGTGGCTCCCCAGCTGGCCAGAAGGCCATGGGACCAGACAATAGTATGCAGCCGGCTACAGTCCCCTACCAGTCCAGCAACCAAACATACCATCAACCAAACAAATTCCAACAACAACCGCACCCTTCAGCGGGGTCTGGAGCCGCTTTCCCGTTGGGCTACGACTGTGCCGCCGGTCCAATGAGCGGTCAGTTGCCAAGGCCGGTCGGTCATCCCGGCTCAGGGAGCCTGAGTCGGACGGGCCCCGTGACATTGGCGACCCAGCACCGAGTGATGCCCGACCTGCCATGTCAAAGGGTGAAGACGAATTTCATCCCGAGGCTGCAGGTGACCAGGGTTGCCGGTCAGCCGGCAGAAGAAGAGTCCGGTGGCACGGCGAGCAAATTGTTGGGTGGGCTGTTTGGCCTCTTCTCCAATGCAGGCTCTTCACCCGTGGAGGCTGTGGCCGGAGCCGATATCGCGGGTCAGCCTGGCCGAAGAAGAGCAAGTCTTTCGGGACTCAGAAGGTGAGTGTGTTTGGCTGTGAGCAAGCAATACATAAGAGGAGATGTGCATACAAACTGGGTCTCGAAGAGTCCTGTAGTGATATAGTTTGATTCGACTTTTCACTTCAAAAACAGCCAGGGTCGGGTGTAATAAATTGCTGAAATGGTCTCATCGGAAACCGAAGGAGAATTATTGCCTTTGAGAGAAGACTATAGGAGTCTGTGAAAAAGTTTTCCGCTGTGTTGAGTTTTTGTCTGTAATGACGTAAACAGGCCATGCATAAATTACACAATACCACGTGCCGGAATATGCGCCAACGGTGGAAGATCGTATCCTAGTTTATTTATGCAAGGAAACTGCTGCTTTACTTTCATGAATAAAGTAATAATTGAGCCAAACAAATCATGGGATGCCTCGTTAAAATCGCAGAATTGGGTAAGAGAAGTGAATATTCTCACAGCCGGCCACCAAACCTCTTTGTTTGGCATATTGTTGCACTTTTTCCTAAACTATACCTTCTCGTTCTGATGATAAAAGCTGAGCACGGATTCACCAGAGTCGCAGAACGTCGAGCCAAGGACTTCTTAGCACAATTCAACGATCTCTACTCCAAAGCAATCCTTCGGTTTCTGGTGAGATCAATTTACAGACGACTACAGATTGTCTCCATACGAGGTCGCATCAGCACCTCCAGCGCTATCTGAAAATGAAGTACCTCACATTTCTATTCAGGGTCTACTCATAGTTTCAAAACACAGTAACTATAAGGTACGCAGACCAACCTCTATTTTGATTGCATTCTACTTTTGCGGTATGTAAGTGGTTTGACCTCATTTTCGCTGATCTATGCATTTCGGTTTGGATTCTTTTCTGTAGGCCAATTAGTGTCTCGATTTCCTATTCAAGGTCTCTTGTCATTTTCCAAACTGAGGGACTTGAAAATCTGAAGACCAAGATGTTGGGGCCTCTATTTTGGCCGCAGTTTTCTTATGCTGTACAAAAATGTATTGACTTCATTTTAGCACCTTAGTCGGTGGACGCACCCTGTTCCGAATCCTCATGATAGCTTCTAGCATCCGACCGTTGACCTATTACGTGCCTAGAAGCTTCGCTGCATCGTAATTGGCATTGCCAATGTTGCTTGCCAGTTGTGACAACAAGCTTAGACTCGTCGAGACAATGGTGAAGTCCGTAAATTGACAAACTTTCTACTAAATTGTTGTGGCATCTTGTCTTCTTTCTCGGCACACTTACCTATCCCATATCTTCGTATATCCTCCTTCACTAGCTCAAAATCAAGCTTGTCTATTCTAAGTTAGTTTAG